AGTCCTTCAAGGCGTTCGCGATTTCTCTTGGCTTCAATTGGTGCCGTGGGGTTTCAAATGCTTTTGCCAGAGCTAGGGTGTCTTTGGCAAGAGCTTTTGAAAGATAGATAGATGGCTGCAAGGGTTTTTGCAAGGAGAAGACTCAAGTTCGTTCGGCAAGCTCCGACTGATAGACCTTCGGAGCTAAGGCTGGGGTCTCTTGTACTGTTGTAAGGAACCTGGGTCAGCCAAGCAAGGGTGTCGTGACCATGGCAAGGGTATGGTGGGGTGCCGAAGGCAGCGCACGCCGAATGATGGAGCTTGTGGGACAAGCTCAAGTCCCCATATTTTTACTCTTCAAAGAAGTGTCGGTCGGTACTTTGAACTGAGATGTTGGGTTGCTCGTAAATCTGTCTAGCTCTCTCAACCTCACCCTCCCATCTCTCAAAGTCAATGTAAGCCTTCCACAACAATCCAGGCTTGTCAAGTTGCGGCTGCCCAATGGCAAGTTCGAAAATCCCCCTTGCTCGTTCTTCCTCACCCAGAGTCTTCTCTAGCTCTGCGTACTTGACCCAATTATTGCTATTCCGTGGTGACCAATCCAGATAATTCTCATACAGTTTCCGACATCGATCTACATTCCCAAGTCTCAGCTCCATCTCTATGTACTTGTCAAATATTGCAGCTTTAGGTGCACAGCCTATTGACGCGCCGAGGATCTTGCGCGCCCCCTCGAGATTCAGCTGTCGAATCTCAAACTGGGCCGCATGAAGCCATGCTTTCGCAAACGAAAACTTGGTATGAGGAATCAATTCAAGGCACTGCCTATACGCTTGTCTGGTTCGTTCCACGGCATCTCCTCCAGCAGCAACAAATTCCTCATACCGTGCATAGTCGATCCAAAAATCAACATAGCGCTTCCAAAGCAGCTTGCAAAGCGGAGGAACATTAGCTAAAGCTCTGGCATAGAGCTCTCTAATTCTGTGCTTATTGGCTGGAGCTGGAGCACTATCTTCTTCTAGCCGTATGTAACCAGTCCAGGAATCGTAATTTAGAGGATTGTTCCCAACCTCATGCTCGTACTGAAGCCTCCTCCAATCCCTATTCTGCCTCTCAACATCATAAACCATTGGCCTACGCCCACCCGAGAATCAACTCCCAATTTCTAAATACAGTTCTGAGAATCAACAACTGCAGCTCCTGCTTCTGGCAATTGGGTTTTTGGGACAAGAGAGAATCGTGTTCTGAGACGGGAGGTTTAGAGAGAGGCGAGGGACCCGGTGTACATCTTTGATTTTCTAGACGGAAAAGGAGGTGGAATCGAATATCAAACTACCAAACCAATTGGGATTAAGAAACCTAATAGAAACCTAATCAAACTAGAATTAAACTGATAATAATAAATAATAATAAAATAAAAAGTAACCTAATCAAACTAGAATTGAAAACCGAAATTAAGAAATTACCAATGAGAAGCGTAAGGGATTCGATAATGGTTATGGTTGAATGCCGAGCCGAGCCGAGGGAATTGGTGATGATAAAACGGGGCCGTCCGAGGAGGGTTTAGGGATCAGACTCCAGACAGAGGGTGGGGAAAAAAAGCGGGTCCGGGTCGGATTGTGAACGATGAGGTTTAGGCTTGCAAGTTGCAGGCTGAGATTAGATAAGAAAGAGGAATGCTTTCAAGAGAGAGCCATATGAGATTGGGAAATAGGTATATCGGGACGGAATAAGGACTCTGTTTCCCGTCCTTTCTTGTCTTCCTTTGTGTATAAGAAATACGCAGCACTTTAGTGGGTCCAATGCGCTTGACCCGTCAGCAAATATAGTCAAACTAACGGAAGGGCTAACTTGTCGTATTTCAGTATATCATTATCGATCAACGGTTAAATGAAAATGTTACTTTCAAAATAATGTCGTAAAATGCAAACGCTTAATATTTATAGTTGAGGCCTGAAGGGGACATAATTTAATTATCTCTAAAAATCTAATCAACCTAAGAGCATCTTCAACCGATATGTCAAATTGCCACGTGGACATTATATAATATAATATAATGTTAGAAATTTTTTACGTGAAACCTTGAATTTAATATTCCTTTCTAAATAAGTTTCCTTATTCTTGTGGGATCAATTTCCTTATAACACAAGGAGTGACCAATTTCCTTAAAGCATAGGGAGTGACCGCAATTTTCTTAAGGCATAGGGAGAAGGGTACTGTTCTCTATAAATAGAGATATTTGCATGCTATCAATGAATGCATACGAAAATTTGCAAAACATTGTCAAGTTTTAGATTTTCCAAGCGAGTAAACCCCAGCCATGGCTTCCTTCAAGGACGCAGACCCAACCCTGGGATTCTTAACCCGAAAGGATGTCGACGTCATGCTACCACGACCCACTAGGGTTAAGAACAAAACCCCAGCCCCTATTCAAATTACCGCAGAGCAAATCCTCCGTGAGGCACGTGAGCGCCAGGAGGCTGAAATCCGACCTCCCAAGCAGAAGATCATTGATCCCACCGAGCTTGCAGATTACCGCCTCCGAAAGCGCAAGGAATTCGAAGACCAAATCCGGCGCATGAGGGGGAATGTCAGAGACTGGATCAAGTATGCGCAGTGGGAGGAGTCCCATAAGGACTTCGAACGTGCTCGCTCTGTTTGGGAGCGTGCCCTTGAGGTTGATCACCGGAACCCTACCCTGTGGCACAACTATGCTGAGGCGGAGATGAAGAACAAGTTCATCAACCATGCAAGGAATGTGTGGGACCGTGCCATCACCCTCTTGCCTAGAGTTGATCAGATTTGGAACAAGTATATTCACATGGAAGATATTATAGGGAATGTGGCTGGTGCTCGGCAGATATACGAAAGGTGGATGAATTGGATGCCGGACCAGCAAGGCTGGCTCTCCTTCATCAAGTTTGAGCTTCGCTATAATGAGATCGAGCGTGCTAGAGCGATTTTCGAGCGTTTCGTGCAATGTCATTCGAAAGTTGGTGCTTGGATTCGGTATGCCAAGTTTGAGATGAAGAATGGTGAGGTTGGGAGGGCAAGAAATGTATATGAGAGAGCAGTGGAGATCATGGGCGATGATGAGGAGGTCGAGCAGTTATTTGTGGCTTTTGCTGAATTTGAGGAGCGGTGCAAAGAAACTGATAGAGCAAGGCGTATTTATAAATTTGCACTTGATCATATACCCAAACAAAGGGTTGAGGATTTGTATAAAAAGTTTGTGTGTTTGGAGAAGCAATATGGAGATAGACAAGGCATTGAGGATGCGATTGTGGGAAACAGGAGATTTCAATATGAAGACGAGGTTAGGAAGAATCCTCTTAATTACGATTCCTGGTTTGATTATATAAGGCTATAGAAGAGAGTGCAGGAAATAAGGATAGAATTAGAGAGGTTTATGAGAGAGCTATTGCTAATGTTGATGCTCAAAATGGTTCGGCCAAGATTGAGTCCAACTTAGTGATGAGGTGTGGTGGATGATGGGTGAAGGTGAGGACCTTTAGCATGATAAATATATGAAAGACAAGATATATGTGGTTCACCCTTAATGAATGGGCTACGTCCACGGAGAAGATGTTCTCATTATGATAATGTTTACATTTGTACAAGGGGATTAGACCCAAAGATAAATGGAAGAAGGCCTAGGGCCTAAGGTACAAAGATAGGAATCTGAAGACTAGGGGTCAAGTGCCCAGGTCCGGATACCCAGGACCGGTTTCTACAACACCACAATTGGAAATAACACTGACAGAGTCTATGGACAAGCACTTTGTAGAGGGGATGTGAACTCTACAGTTTGTCAAAATTGCATCTATGAGGCGAGCCAGGAGCTTTTCAAGAGTTGTGATACGAATGATGCAATGATGTGGTACGAAGTATGTCAAGTCTGCTATTCCTTCCAGATGTTCTTTTCATTGATGGTCGGAAGCAATGTGTTCAGAAGACCAGGATCAGGATTATCTTTGTGAACAAACGAAGCAATGTGTTCAGCGTGTTCGAAGAATATTTGAGAAAGCTTTTAACTATTTTAGAACTTCAGCACCTGAGTTGAAGGAAGAACGGTGTCTCTTGCTTGAAGAAATGTTGAATGTGGAGGCTAGCTTTGGAGATCTCGGTGATGTTAGCTTAGTCCAGTCTAAGCTTCCAAAGAAACTTAAGAAGCGGAGGCCAATAGTAACCGAAGATGGCCCCGCTGGATATGAGGAATACATTGATTACAGCTTCCCAGAAGAAGCACATACCCAAAACCTCAAGATATTGGAAGCTGCCTACATGTGGAAGAAGCGAAAGGTTTCTGATTAGGAACTTTTTGCTCTTTACTGTTTTATATTCTAAGATTCAGACAGAAATTCCTTCTAATCCTTGTCTTCCCCTGGTTAAGGAATGATCATCAGATGGAATCGATTTGTGAAATCAATGTAATGCTGTTTTTGTGTTTTTAGTTATACTTGGCCTTTGCTGGAGGTCGGGCTAGTTTCTTTTCTCCGTTTGTAATATTTGAAACTATAAAATCTGTTCTGCTATGCGGAAGATGGTATTCTGGATCTCAATAATGCTGCTGATACTTTAGAGGTGACTACTTTCCCATCTGTTGTAATGTATTCTTTGTCAGGGATCTGTAAATTATAAGTGTTCTTTTTATGTAGGTGCAAAAGAGGCGGATATATGATATAACAAATGTTCTTGGAGGAATTGGTCTCATAGAAAAGAAGCTCAAAAATGGAATTCGGTGGAAGTAAGGAATTAGTTCTTGAAGGAATTGGTCTCATAACAAATGTTCTCGTAGACCCTTTTTCCATAGCGTTTTTCCAACGCTGTGTTTGCATTTTCAATAGCATTCCATTAATGTTATCAGATTTTGTATAGCCGGATGGGCCAGAAAACTCTTATAAGTTATAGCTATAAGGAAAGATCATACAAATCATATCTCCAAGGATATAAAATGAACGCCCAAATATTGCTAAAACATAGAGAATATTGAGAGTAGAGAGTGGAAAGTGTAGAGAGAATGAGAGTTGTAGAATATTTTCTGATTTTTCACTTATATTTCATTACTTACAATCAACACATATATATACAAGTTCCTAAGACATTAGTCAAGCCCCCCAAGTTAGGCAACCAACCAAGTTAGGCAACCAAACTAATTAGGCAACCAAACTAGTCAAGCCCCCCAAATATTGTAGGTGCCAAACATTAATTGACTACATAATTAACACATTAATTAACTTACTTATAGTCCTAATTGCTGAAGCTAGTGGTTTTGGTTTTCTCAGAAATTGAAAGCTCGCTGGATATGTTTTAGTAATTATGTTTGGAATTAAAATGTTGGAGCAACGGGGCAAGCCAAAGAAATTGCAAGCACAGGCCCAGCAATATAGTTAAGCATTTAAAGAAACATCCCCTTTTTCAATGTGCAATCTGCAGGACTCTGCAGAGAAACATTCCCTTTCTCCACCCTCCAGAGTCCAGTCCTCTAATTTAGCCTAGGCATATTGAATATTGAAAGGTTTGGGTTTGGTTTTCTCTCATCTTTTCTGATCTTGTTTACTATTTGTGATAGGCGGCGTATTTGTTATATGGATATGAAGAGTATCTGCTCATATTTCAAGAAGCTGCTATGCACTATGTTAGCGCATGTACCTGGTCGGCACCAAGGGGCCTCACCTGCCCAGCACAGCTGAGGAACCTGGTCATCACCAGCTGACCTGGCCTAGCAGAGCTGATATTAGTTGCACCTGATCAGCAACAGATGTTCGGCTCGGTCAACGTGATGAACTTGAAAGTTCCCAGTCAAGAACTTGTTCTCAACTAAGAACTTGGGGGCTTGTTGTTATACATATTTGGTTGGTACTAGAAATGTCCTACCAGAAATGGCCTACCAGAGATAGCCTACCATGAATGGCCTACCATAAATGGTCTACCAGAGATAGCCTAGGCAATTTGGCCTAGCTGAAATGTCCTACCCGAAACATCCCACCCGTTTCAATATGGCCTCAGCCAACATGGCCTAGCTGAAATGTCCTACCCGAAACATCCCACCCGTTTCAATATGGCCTAAGCCAACATGGCTTAGTCAAAATGTCTTACCCGAACAATATGTCATACCCGAGCAATATGT